TTTTTTTTTTTTTTTTTTTTTTTAGTGTTTTCTTTAACTGAAAATAAAACTTTGCATTCCAAAACCACTTTTATGATCCCTGGCAGTCACAACAGGAAGTGATTTATAAATGGAAGGCTACTTTTTCAGAGCTATGTATGTGCACTTGCTTAAAGAATGCTGCTAATTTACTATATTTACAACAGCAGAAATCCCTTCGGTATGTAAATTACTGTTTTGAAATATGCATACAATATAACCATGCAGTAACTTTCTAATTGCGTGGTTAATGTTATGGACCGTGACATTTAATGGTACATACTTACAGATAAGTTGGTAATTGCAGTTAAGTATAATAGTTGAAAGATTAGTTAACCTGTTTGCTGGACCTGGGTTTTACAAGATCTTGGTGTCAAAGACTGAAATGAAGAGATAATTATTGGGTTATTAGCTGGTAGCTGTCGCATGCTTACACAGTCAAAAGCTACAGGGTAATTCAGCTGCTACTATTTGTGCCTCATAAAATGAAGGAATACTGAAATGTTATGACCAGGCTTAGCCTGCTACATCTATGAGACAGGTTGATGTGAACACTATTAAAGACAGCTTGTTTAAATTATATTAAATGACATCTGAAATGTATAAGATTTGTGGGGGAGCAGTTATGCTGGTTTAATTCTAGCTCTCTCATTTTTAAACCTTCACCAAAAAGTAGTTCAGTGTTCAGCCTGTATTCCTGTATACTGGTGGGATTTTGGGTCTGTTTTGGTTTGGTTTTAAATCTCAGTATTTTTTTATGGATGCCGAGGGGTTAACTGGCTGTTGATTTATTTAGATCCTTCAAGCTTTTCCAGCCTTAACCCCATTCAACAAGAGTTGTTGCTACTGTGGTGCATATGTCCAGGAAGAACATATGTTAAGAGGGAAGAAATGTTTTTGAGACAGAGAATTGAGAAACATCATTGTTGCATGCTCCAGCAGTTTGGTAGCGAGGGGAGAAACTTTTTGCCTTTATTTTTTCTGTTTTCTTTTTTGTAATTGATTTAGAAGATACTCTTTTCTCTTCATTTTGTATCAGGGATCTCACTGTTGTTCTCCTGAGCAGTCTCAGTGCCATAAAAGAATATGATTTGTACAGTTGTTTTATTTTTTTAAGTTAGTAGATCTTTTGTGTCATACACTTTTTAAGCCATGCTAAAAATATGCATTTTTTTTGTTGTTCTAAAGTTTGCAATAATCAGTGAATCCCTGTTACCTGAATGCTTATTATACCAGGGGATTTGAACAAAATCTCAGTGGTAGAGTGATACTTGTAAAAATTAATTTGAATGAATGCCATTAGTAGATGAATCCACTTCAGTTATTATAACATGTTCTTCTGCATCTGAAATATGTTTGTGGCTGCTGTTTAATCATACTGAAAATGTAGTTAGACTTTTTTATTTTTATATATATATATATATATATATATATATATAGAGAAAAACAGAGACTGGCCAAAACAACAACCTCATATCCAACCACACCCAATTTTTA